CAATTTTTGAAGCGGGGCCTTTGCTATTGCCACAACCTCTCTTGCCTTTTGTTTTTAGGACAATCATCCCTTAGCTAGCCTTCCTCTGCTGGGCTATTCTCTTACCATTCCTTCTGAATCTGAGAACATTAATAAAGACTATGTCTTTAAGCTACATTTCAAATCCCATGTGTACTATTTTAGGGCGGAGAGTGAATATACATTTGAAAGGTATGTTTGTTTACTATAATTTTACTACATACTACGCTGTTAAATTCTATCATTAAAAAAGGATGGGTAAACAAGTACTGTTATAATCCAGCCAATTTAAGTAAAACATGAAGTCTGTCAAAGAGCTAAAATATCAAATTGTTTGTTTCCTGAAAAATGTAAGTTGGATACAGACTTCTCCAGTCTAGATCCAGGAATTTTCCAAGATTACTAAATCACATTTTATTTTGCTTATCTCATGAATCATTTCCAAAATCTTACATCGTTCTTAAGACAAGTTGTCACAAGCATTTTAAAAAGCACTAAAATCTGGTAACATCTTGTGAAAGAATATCAAAATGTTGTGAAACTGAAATGTGCGGTATCTAAAGTTTTGAAACGGGGAGTAGGGATTGTAATTTTAAAAATTCCCCAAATATTTGATAGTTCTTTAAGAGAATACTAAATCAATATAAAGAATTCATCATGTTTGTAACATGTGCAGAATTATTCGCCCAGGAAAGGAAATATTGTATAAGGCCTCTCATACCCCACAAGCTGTTACAAGGGATTCATTTTTGTTGAGAAACAAAAGTTATATAGTTCATACTAGAGGTGAACAAAATGTTCTGTGCATGACTTAGATCTAAGCTAGTTTGTGTTTGAACCCGGACATGTACATTTAGGATATTATGGCCCATAGATTGTTTACTTACATGTACAGACTGAAATGTGATTGTGCAGGACAGAAATTATTTGGGATGGGATTGATAGGTAAGAGTAAGAAACAGCCAAGAACATTAACAATCTGAATAATCATTTCCATCTAACAAGAAAGTGAAAAACGTGGTACTGGTCTTGTAAATTTTCAAACGTTCTATAGTGAAACTTAAATATTCTATAGCAAAATGCATTTAAATAAATGTGTCTTGCTCTATAATATAGGTAATGTTTAGTTTACAAATGGTAGCTGAGTGCAGGATTTCTCAAATTCCAACTACTTTAGTGTGTGTGGACTTTAATGCTGGCTGGGGAACACTCATCTTAATCCTGCTGAGGTGAGAAACCTCTTGCACGGAACCACTACTACACTCTTTTTCCCTCTACCATCACACTGTTCAGAGTTGAGGTTTTAAGCTCTTCCCATATGAGATCCCATCAGAATTCCCATGCCTAGTTGGTTATCCCAGAGAAATGAACTTGAAAAGGGTGGAACAAAGATTGGCATTCCAGTTCACTTTTTTTTTTCTGTATCCCACTGTGGTCCTCTTAATGTTTAGCAAGGCTATTAGGATGGAAAAAGCAACCTATGTCTTTGGGACAACCTATGGGAAGAGTTATCTTCATTGTTCTTCCCCAACTCCATACCATTCTGGCCAACCAGATCAGCTGTTGGAAAAACAGACTGGAATAGAATTGAGAAAGAATATGTTTTGCAGACTGGAGATCTGTTCCTTCCCTTTTCCCAACCTACTGAGCTCTCCCAAACTCACCTAATAAACAAACATCTTCTGTGAAGCCACATCCACAACAGAAAAGCTTCCCACCTGTGCAGTGTAGCAAGTCCTGATGTTTGTCTTTCTTCTTGCTTAGGTGGATGGAGGTCATCCGAAGTGCTACAGGCCCAGCCTCACGGGTCCGTGTATTAAGTCATGAAGAATCCCATGTTTATTGATGGCTGAACTTCAAATGGTTCATTCCAGCAACTGCTGCTTTTTTAGAGGATATTTGAATTTACTTTCCCCTTTTAAGATTTAGTAAAATACAAATCTATTAAAAATGTTTTGGATCAGCTTTTGAAATAATGCCTCAGCAGATTCGTTTACTATTATCAGCCACATGAGGGTTTCATGTCTTGTATTTGTTCTTTAGTGTGGTTTTTTAGCTTGTGCCAGTATTAAAATATTGTTCCTTGGAGTGCCAAATGCCAAAAGATATTTCTTTGCCTCAAAAATTTGCACCTGAAATATATAGACCAATTTTGTAGCAACTTCATTTTTTTGTATTTCCTTGAAAACAAGATGCCTCTTCTTTAATATACAGACCCTCACAATGAGCTTTGGACTGATTTTTGTTTTGGTTATTTTTATCTTCTATTCACTTCACCACCTCAACATAAATCTTCAAGGTAAAAGTTCTTTTATTTTTCATGTTTCTACACAGTTTGCTTGTAAGAATTAAAACTGGCAGCCAAATATGTAGTTTGTTCAATTCATCTCACTTCTGGAAGTTGGAAATATTTCCTTCCTTTACTGTCAGATGGGTTTGCTTGCTTTTTTCTGATGAAAATTCGTATTGAGATAGAAAATCATGCCTGAAAAAGAGTTTACATATTTTACCCCATGAAATACTCGTAACAATGTCTTAGAAAGTTTAAGATGGTATAAATAATTTGTGTAACAAAATGTCAATATCTGTGTTCTACAAGGATTGTGGCATTAATTTTTTGTCAAAATTGGTGTTTCAATAAGAACAGGTGCAGGTGCATCTCTTCAAAGGAAACATTTGTTTCTGTAATGTTTTGTCCCAATATATTCTGTGCTTCTGCACCTTTATAAGTGGTACTATAAATCAATTCATATTTTGTCTGTACAAATTTGGAAGCAATTAGATAGCCTTAAATATGTTCATTTAATCAATGTCCAGCCCACTTAAAGAGTCCAAAACAGCCTTTCTCAACCATTTTTTCCCCTGGAGGAAGCCTTGAAATAATTTTCAGGGCTCAGAGAACCGTTGCATAAAAATCTTTCTATCTGAAGCTCACGGTACATTACTATGATTAGCGAGCTGGGTTGCAACATATAAAAATTCCAACCTTTGGGAGTATTGGCATTTAATGGCACACAAAATTTAAAAAACAGTATTTTTTTCATATAATAATGACCTCTCATGGAACCCAAGTTGAGAAAGGCTGTTCTAAAGATTTGACTGAGAATATACACTTTCCAGCAGTTGAAATAGATTTATTGTGTATTATTAGGTGTAATATGGATCCCAGCACATTTGTCACACATTTTAAGAGAAATGGTTACCACCGTATCAATCAATCTCTTGCTTTAAGAGCAAGTTTGCCAAATATAGAGGCTCTGTTGTATAAACATGTTTTAAGATTTGCTTACTGAAAAGGGAATAAAATACCTCAACAGCTTTAAACACTGTATAGCTTTGAGGGTTTCTTTTGAGGATGTTTGTTTCTTGCCATTTACAAAACAAATGTTATTTTGAACGTGCATAATTGATAACACATAATTTATATGTGTGCAGCTGATTTAGGCAACTTAACATAAGTTCATCAAAATGAGCCCATGAAACGTTGTCCAGCCACATGCATGAGCCTTCCTTTGGCCTACATATCCCAACATGCATTTTGCAATCCAGGTTTGGTTCAAAAGTTTTTCTCTCCAATACCTCTTCCCCTCTCTCTCTCATACACACACACACCCGCCCCCAGGCTATGTTTGATTTTTCCAGCTAAACCATGAGATTGAAGCTGAATCCTGGAAGATCCTTGTTGCTGTAAAAAGAGCCACTCCTTTTTAATTGTTGTTTTGTTTTTAAGTGGTGGAAAGAAGATGTACCAAGTCAACTAGGCTGCTTCTGACCTCATTATGTCTCTTTGAAACCTCCCCAGCTTCTTTTGTTTCTTAGAGAAGTAAACAGCTACAAATAGATTGGGGAGAAGAAAGAAGTAAAACCAAAAACAGCTGGAACTATAGTTAAAGAAGGTTTTGCATATAATTTTGAGGGTCATATAAAATCATCATGCAAACTTATGACCATCTTCCTTATTTACTACCGTAGCTGCAGCTTTTAGCTTGTGCCTTTTCTGTTCAGCAAGGTTTGCAATGGTCTGGATTCAGGAGCTGGATTTGCTTCCTGGGAAGTCACAGTATTGTAATGCTAACGGTGGCACAGGTTTTCAGCTTTTGCCATTGTCTGTTCCTCAGGGTATAAATACCATGAGCACAAATCACTTATTCACTGTTTTCTATTACCTATCAGAGACTCTTGCAGGAACATTGCTTTATAACAATTTATTTCTGCTATTGCTATTTAGATTTCCATACAAAATATAATAATCACACCTCCTTTTTTTAACATTGTTCCTAAATAAAGCAGCAACAGCACTGAAAGTGGATGTAAAGGTTTTCCCCATTTTACTCCAAAGCTATACCTTCCAGATACAATATGGATGCCAGGGGTGTCAAACTGGCGGCCCGCGGCTTGGATGCATCATGTGCAGGCCACGCTCACCGCAGCTCCACGAATGGGAAAACGTCACGAAACATCACGTGATGGCAACGTGACACCATGAGTTTGACACCCGTGGTTTATGCACTTCTATGTTTGGTTTCAAATAATTAACTGAAACAGTTTGTGCCAATTGCATTGATATATATATATATGATCAAGGAAATATCAATGCAATTGGCACAAACTGTTTCAGTTAATTATTTGAAACCAAACATAGAAGTGCATAAACCACGGGTGTCAAACTCATGGTGTCACGTTGCCATCACGTGATGTTTCGTGACGTTTTTCCCATTCGTGGGAATATATATATGGAATTCTGTTTAATCTAGCCATGATTGGGGGGAAAATACTCAAAATTCTTAGGTAATATTTCCATCTGTACACAACCTAACAGTTTGATAAGAATATTTACATCCGTTCTTCCAGAACACTGCAGCCATAACAGAATTTGGACTTGCAATAACACAATAGCTTATGATTCTGTTTTTCCCTTTAAGTGTCACTAAATTCTGAAGTGTACTTTCTTGTAAAGTATGTGATATAAATACGCTGCTCAATGACATATCAAAATGGTTGTATTTCTTTATTTCTGTGTCATGAAACATACAAGGTTTTGAGAATAGGTTGATATCTGACATAAGCAAATATACTGTATACAGGTTATAAACAGCAGAATTACAGAAGTAAACAGAGCCTGATCAAAGAATAGGTCTTCATTGCATATGTCACTTGATGGCTAAAAATGGGACCTCCATGGATAGAGATTTTAAAAAGGCATTCCCAGATGCTTATGAAAAAAATAAGCCAGATATTAGACTGCTATGTTGTGCATTTCCAAAAAGCAACTGTTGGCCAGAGTTAGACCTTTGCTATAATTTAGCAAGGAAATCATAATTTTATGCTTCTCAAAAAAAAAAAAACAAAAAAAAACACCATCCAATTCATAATTAGAATATTTTATCCAGCTAATGTGAATTCCTCAAGTATGTAGATGTTTTGTATATTCAGACTCTACTAAAAGTTATTAGATGATAGAAGTATACAATTACTGCTCTCTTTCTAGTATCAATAATTTTAAATCTGAAGACCTTTAAAGTTGATTTATGGCTCTAACAATTAAACATCTCTAAGAACATTTCTAGTTCACCATAATGTACAACAGTAACTATGCTAACCTAAAAAGAGCAAAAATAAAGTCTTGTGACATCTTAACCAATTTATTATGGCATAAATTGGATTAGAGATCAGAGAGATTGATTTACTACAGTGTTTTGAATTGAAAACTTTCCAGGAAATATTCTGGGATACTTAGTGTAATTTTCTGAAATATTACAAGTATTCTAGTGTACAGTGTTATATACTCTTTATGTTGTGTATATAATGGGAAGGAGGATTTTATATGCTAATTTAAGCACTTTCAATGTTCTATGCATCATATATGCACATATCTTTGCTAGAATAGCCTCCACCTTCCACCCTAAAACCCCTGTGTGAAATGACTTGTTTGGACATAATGAAAGAGCCATAAGTTACATTGCTAATTCATTTTATAAATTTTGGAAATGAAAAGCAAAGAAACAAATCCTTTCCACATTGCTGGACTAACCTTCTACTTTGTCAGGTGCACAAGTGTTACTAAGATTTTGTATACATCCATATACATTATGGGTGCCAAAGGGGGGGGGGAATCAATAGATGGAAAATCCACCAAATTCTACATGTAACTTTGCAAAATTAAGTTATTTGCATTCTACAGGTATTTCACAGCATTCCATACCCCCAATAAATAATTGCTGACTAGTAAAATTTCATTCGTGTGATAAAATGGACTCCTGCACATGAACATTTATAGTAGTATATCAGGAAGCCTTTAAAATGCCAAAATAATTGCTTTGCCATTTTGTGTTATTTATGACTTCAATTCAGTAGCAGATTGACAAGGATACAATGAAATCTAGTTTTATGTTTGTGCTTTGGCTCACTGCCTATATATAAGGGAGGAAACCGAATTGAGGACTTTGTATCCCAACATACCTGTCATCTTTCAACTTCCAAAATTAAATCCTTCCATCCATTGATACATATATAAGCCAATATACAATACACCCCCGTTTGCACTAATGGCTGCAAAATTCCACTATTATCGAAAGCAACTTCAATAGGTTCTAAACTATTACAAAAATATCAATACTGAAAATTATGTAACATACAAAATGCTTCATATACTGTAAGGGTCAAGAATCAATCAAAATACAGTGCAATGAACTCGGGGGGTGGTGGTGGAGGGTGGCACCTAAATGATTGTGAGTAAACAGAAGCAACTTCTCACAATTCCACAAGAAAAATCAGTGGTCTCAAGAGTTCATTTACAAGTGTGTGGCTATAATGGAAATATATATTCTAATTAATAGTTAAAAAGTGGCCCAACAGACCCAGATAGAAAACCTTTGCAGTTTGAAAGACTTGGCTTGCTTTCAGATTGTTTAGCAATTTCATTATGAAAAATGGGAAATTTGTCCACTCTACACCAGCAAATCTTGGTGCCCTTTAGTAAAACGAAATATTACCTTATTTAATATGCAGGAAACTGCTATCAACCCCCAAAGACTAATCCTGAATACATACAACACTGCAATGCTGGATTTTTTTAGGACAGTTCTAAAACAATACTTAAAGGCTCAATAAACAGTATTGTAAAGTTAAACAGAGTAAAAACGGACTCGAAACAACAAAAGGTGTTTTAGAGTTTAAATTTGGTTACAATATAATGCAAAGACAATTTGCTTTCACCAAGTTGTTTCATTTATACCAAACAAGATGTCATTTTGAAATTCTGCATATTTACAATTTATATGGGATTAAGTCAATTAAACTGATATTTAAATAAACTGCACTGGCTCAAACAGCAAACTGGCAAAATAGTAATCTTTTAACTGATTTAAAATAAACAAGCGTTTGTTGGAAAAACCATGTCTGTAAAAGAACATAGCTCTGACAAAATATTAATTTACTAATTTTAAAAGAGCCAGTCATTGAGGTCCTTTTGGTTTCCATTTAACAAAATCTTTCAGTCAACATTCTTGCAATCCAAAATCTTAAAAGGTTACCAGATCTGGGACTGCATACAAGCTTAGCTGAAAATTCGAGAGAGATTTCTCACCTACCTCGCCCTAATTCAATGTGTAGCTTACTTCATGCTACATTTCACAGACTGTAAACACTGGAGTAGAGACTAATACAAAATCCATCCAGTTAACATCACGTCCATTCTAATGGGATGGCAACATGGCTGACTCAAACACAAGGCAGTAAAATATTATTTCCACTCAATTTAGTAAATTGTTCAATCTTTACATTGATAAGAGGATATTACAGGTTCTAAACATTCAGTGAGTTCATTTCCATTGACACAATGGGCCCATCCTTTATACCATTATTATACTTTTCTCAAAACAAATTAGAAAGGAGATTTTCACCAAAGGCTTGGTCATAGGGTTAAATCTTCTACAGCAAGTTGTCTTTTGGAGTTACTGTGTTATTTATTTTTTTAAGATTACAATACAGATTTCATATTGAAATCAAAACAGTGTAATAATATTGAAAGCATTAATTTATTGTAAATCAACAAAGAGCAAGCCCTTTCTAAAATTCTTGACTAACCACAACCTTTTAACTACATTTTTATTCCACTTTTCTCCAAATACCTCAAAATAAAAATTCAGATGGGATTTCTATCATGTAGTTATTTTAACAATAGATAAGAGTTATACTGTACTAGTTCTTACCTATTAAAGTGAACTGTAGTTTTCTATTTTAGATCTTAACGAAATTTCATATATCTTCCTCTACCACACAAAGAATTTCAGATATTAAACTAAGCCCAAATATTGATTTCAATGATTGTAACTAAAGTTGCTCGCATTTTTAAAATTCTTTTTATAACCAGTATTTTGCAAAATTGCCATTATTTATCCAGAATTTCTAGGAAGCATATAAAAAAGTGCCTTTTTCAGTTATATGTTAACATTAATTCCAAAAGAAAACTATTAAAAACAAATTTAAACTTTGGATTGGCACAATTTTAAACAAGATATAAAACCATGAAGATAAGCAAAACTAGAGAACTGCAAAGAATATGATATCCTAAATTAAAACAATCAATTTCGTACCATGATTAGAAACAAAAAAAAAAAAAATGCTACTGTGTAACACAAAAAAAAAACCTGCATCTGAGGTATAAACTGGATTTTTATAGCACGGCTTTATTTCTGACCTATAAACAAAGGTCAAGCAAACCCTGCTATAATACAATTTAAAATTTTCATAGAAACAAAGACAAGCCTATAATAAGTTGATCTATCTGTCAAAATATTTACCTCACTAGTATCATCTACAGAAGCTCTTGGCAATTTGTACAGAGGAATCCGTATGCATGTCAAGCAAATTTCAGTAAAAAAGTGACTATATACAAATTTGTACACAGAGCCAATAATACATCCAATTCACAGATATATTTTTTTTTTAACTTAAAGAGGTTGCCTTCAATTCTTTTAAACCCCAATCCATGTTAAATGTAAACGTGGAACATGGGACTGAACTCCAGACTTCCATTTCTTTCTTAAAACAAAACCTTAAAACAAAGAAAATGGTGGCAGTGCCACTAGTGCACACATTTCAGATTGAAATGCCACCCACCTATGGATCCTTGAGCTGAAGGCCAATGACTTAACACAAGATACCTGAGATTTCACAATAGCTTTAGTTCCTAACTGAAATCCTAAATTTACATCTCAGAAATGTATAAAGATACCTCCTTTGAATATGTGCATTATTTTTTTTAAAAAAAACCTATACAGAGTTGAAAAACAGTGCTCTTGCTAAAACACCTTCTTCTGTTGATGCACTTTCAGAAATGTCCATGTGATTGCCTGCCAATTGTGGAAGACCAGCCTGAGAACAGGTGCCTGCAGGCGCCCCACTGAAGTAGCAAAAATGGCCACAGGGTCAGACTTCAGTGGGATGAGCTGCTCCCTCCAGCTACTGAGTACCTGGGAAGGGAAAAAGCATGTTGTTAAAACAAAAGTAGTGAACAAAAAGTTTTACACAGAAAATAAAAATAAATGTATCTCAGTTGCAATCTTTTAGAAAAATATACTCCTGCACTTAAAAGCAGAGTCTTGAGCAAGAATTACGATTGGGAACTAGTTTTCCAAAGCTACCTTTCTTATAGGTTTTTTAGAAAACTACCAATTTTCTAAATATGCAGTACCAATGACCAACACATGCATACGCAGAATATAAAACCACTTTCACTATCAAAGAACGTTATGAGCTTAGCGGGTGTTTTTCTGAGTTTATATTATCTGAAATAGAGATAACCAAAACATATTTGCTATTCTGGAAGTATCTATGACTTTCAGCTGGCTTAACTTCACCAACATCAAAACAAAAAGGCAAATATTTCCATCAGTAAAATACATGTTGTTCCTATTCTGATAGAAACTAATATTTGCTATGGTCCAATAGGAACAATCCAATAAAAAATTAAATCAAAACTGCTTTAAGTTGATATTGCTATTTTTGATACACTAATAAGAGTTCTAAACATTCTAAGAATGTCATTATCATCATCATCATCATCCTTTTTTATAAAGATCCAAAAAACTCAGTTCCAATGATTTTAATATGAATAACAAGGATAGGAAATGTGTGTAGTAACTCTGTCCAAAGGGAATGTTATTATTAATATTATTGTAATTAATACCTCTGAAGCCGCTGTACTAGCTCAGACACCATGGTATCTGAAATTCCCGGGCAAGCTTCTTCAGCTAAATAAATAGCCTCTCTCAGTTCTTCTATGGAGCCCATGTTTCCCCCACAAGCTTGGCTTCTCTCTTTCAACTAAAAATCAGAAGAGGATTAGTTCTAAGCATCTGAAACGTTTGCAAAAAAAATGTGTATGGATAAAAAAAAAATAACAACAGAGCTCTGCGCTTTGTAGAGATTGTGTGGAAACATACAGGGTGCATATAAACCATTTTATAGAGTCTGAATAAGCCTTAAATCAATGCAAATTAGAAAATACACATTTTCTATGGAACTCTAGGAAGTAAATGAACTTCAAATTAGCAACTGTTTGTCAATTTACATAAGAGATGTAATCCAGATGGTTCACCACTAACACAACAGGACCATTTCTGTTATTTTGATCACAACTATGCCTGCTCTTTACCACTTCTGTTTCCCTACATTAGAAATCCTTTTTATAAGTAGAGGAGAAAGTAACACAAGCGAGGCTGAGGTGTTTAAAAAAAAAAATTACACTTCATCATTTACACTACATCAAAAATCCTACTAGCATTTGAAACTATCTTATTTTAAATTGCTTTTAATTTTTATATTGTTATGGTTTTATTTCTGGCTGTACACCACCCTGAGTCCTTCGGGAGAAGGGCGGTATAGAAATGTAATAAAATAATCAATAATAATAATAATCTTTACTCTAGGGAAGTGAATTTCCTCTGGTACAAGCCGAAAAGAAGGTATTTTTATTGCCTTTTTAAAAAAGAACTCCTTACTGATGCCCAAGATGCAGCATGAATAACAGTTTAAGAAATGGCAAAGTACGAACTGCATCACTAAATGCCTAGTTAAGTCTGTGTGGAACAACTTCACATAGGACAACCCACATCCTCCTTCGCTGGGAGCTGTTTTCCCCCTTGTGGCATCACAAAGGCGCCAGGTTCTTCCACTGCTGCTGCTCCCAGACCAAAGTTGCTGGTTTCTCCACCCACCCTGCTCTCAGCTGACTTTAAAGCCATGGAAAAGAAGATGGTTCTCCTTTCTTGAGAACCAGTTCCAGTTAGAAGAGAAGTGAGAAGTCTGGCCCTAGCCCCCTGCGTGTCGGATGCCTCAGAGCTTGACAGCCTCCTCTCTCCTACTTAACATTCACATGAAGCTGATGATGGAGGTCATCTGGTGACACAGATTACTTGGCTCCCCTTTCACCCAACTAATGTCTTCAAGGTTCCATCTCCATTTAGAAGGCTGGGTGGGGTATGGATGGAGAAATGGCTCAGGCTCAGCTCTAGCAACATCAAGTGCTGTGCGATTTAGGATGACAAGATCATGGAGATCTTCCATCTTTTTTTGTGGAGGGGACTGGGCTGCCTCAGTCACAAATGGTATGCAGTTTGGTCTTGCTACTTATGCTTCTGGAGCAGATGAAAGTCTTGGTTAGAAGGGCTTTTGCCTAAATCCATCTTACATGTCTATGGCAACCATGCCTAGATTGGGAGGCTCAGCTATTGCACAGTCATACCTTAGTGACTTCTTTACTGCATTACTACAAGGCATTCTAGATGGGACTCCCTTTGAAGAATCCACAGTTCAGCAGTGCAGGTAATTATGGGCATGGTATGCATGTAACACTTTTTACCAGAAGGTTTCTGGCTATAAAACAAGGTACTGGTTATCTATCATGCATAAACTCCTCCATGGTACAACCAGAGGATATTTAAGGGACTGTCTATCTCCAAGGGTTGCTGCCCACCCAACAAGTTTGGATCCCATCTATTGAACTGTGCATCAGGTGAGTTTTGGAAAGTCCATCGTTGCCCCGAGATCTGGATGCTTCCAACCATACTGGTTTTTAGTAAATGCCATGGGTCTTCCTTTGGATTCAGGGCCAGGAGACTGCATGAACCATTAATGTGTTGATATTAATGCAAAATTAACTTTGACCTCAGCACTACAAGTTTATATACTCTTTGTTTTTATATATCTGTTTTTCCTGGATTCTTACTTATTTTTATTTCTTTACTGTTTTTATGTTGTAGACTGCCCAGAATTTTTTTTGAGTGGGTAGCTCTATACACTGAAATAAATATAATTAAACTGAAACAAATAGGTGCTGTCACTCCAACACGTGGCACTTGCCACAATTTTGCTGTGACAATCACCACGTCAAGATCAGTGTACCCTCCTCCCTCACCTTACACCTTTGGTGGAAGCAATCATGGAGTCAATAACGTGGATGGCCCCCTTTAAAAAATCCCTATCCAGGATTCCCACCTGCTCTAAAAAAAAGGTAAGTCATGGCCTTTCTGAAGACATCAACATCCCTTTTATTTATATTTATATGTCTATTTAAAACTTTTATATAGTTGCCCATTCAATATCAAATTTCGGATGGCTTCTAATCAAAAATTAAAACAATGACCAAAAAAAACAACATAAAAACCATACCAAAATCTATTAAAATCGTAAGCATTAAAAACTTGGCCCAAGTTAAGCTTCCAACATGCAATCATTCATTAAATGCTCTCCCCATGCATCACAAGAATTGAGCAGCTTCTCTTTCAAAAATGCTTGAAAGATTCGCTCATAAGAACAACTCTGACTGCATTAATTTTCCCTTATTTTCTCCCAACTTTTTCATACAATCTCTAAATGGGAGAAGAAATGATTAATCCAATGATATTACCTCTGTGAATAATGGCGATATAATTGTAGATAAGCTTCGAGATGCAGGGCGCCTTTGAATGGTATTTTCCTTTCAGAAAAAATATATATATATTGCAAATTAGTTAAAAGAGAATATAAAGACTTGTAAGAAGCCAGATTGCCTGTAAAATTGCTTATTAAATTCTTAAGCTACAAACAAGATAATAGATATGTATCAAATTATGTGCATGGCAAAAAGCCTGCTGGAATTGAACAATGCATTCAAACCCTAACCGAAAAATTAAATGTAGCAAAATACATATATCTGATGGAACTTTGGAATGAGCCAATGGAATAAGTCAGAAAGAGAAACAAAATAAGAGAAGGGAATACAAGAACATAGGTTCACACCCTAATTGGACAACTGCTTTGTTTTTTCCCTCTCCAACAATAGCTCTTCAAATGCTTAATCAAGGATTCCTTTGAACCACATCTTGAGCTTTTCATTGGAATGGGGGACAACGAGTGGCTGTGGCTGCCGGCGTCCCGGTATAGCCAGCTGGCGCCATCGCTGGTTATTGGGGGCAACTCATTGGCCCCCACGGAAAGGGCCCGCAACTTGGGTGTCCTCCTGGACGCACGGCTGTCTTTAGAAGGGCATACGACAGCCGTGGCCGCGGGGCCTTCTATCAGGTCCGCCTGATTTGCCAGTTGCGCCCCTTTCTGGATCAGGACTCCCTACGCACGGTCACTCAAGCACTCGTCACCTCTCGTCTGGACTATTGTAACGCTCTCTACATGGGGCTCCCCTTGGGGTGCACCCGGAGGCTCCAACTGGTGCAGAATGCAGCCGCGCGGGGGATTATGGGAGCGACGGGGCGCTCCCATGTGACTCCTCTCCTGTGCGAGCTACATTGGCTTCCAGTGGACTTCCGGGTGCGCTTCAAGGTGTTGGTGATCACCTTTAAAGCGCTCCATGGCTTAGGGCCGGGGTATCTACGGGACCGCCTCCTGCCACCAATTGCCTCCCACCGGCCAGTTCGCTCCCACAGAGAGGGCCTCCTCAGGGTGCCGTCGGCCAGGCAATGTCGGCTGGCGACCCCCAGGGGGAGAGCCTTCTCTGTAGTAGTACCCACCCTCTGGAACAATCTACCCCCAGAGATACGAGTGATCCCAGACCTCCGGACTTTTCGTCGGGCTCTCAAAACCTATTTTTTTTCAGTTAGCCGGGCTGTCCTGATTTTATGATTGGTTTTAATAATTTTGATATGGCTTTTAATTGGAATGTTTTAAATTAATGGGCCAAATTTATTTAATTATTTTAAATTTATTTTAACTTTTGTATACAAAATGTTTTATTTTTTGGCTGTTCACCGCCCTGAGTCCGAAAGGAGAAGGGCGGTATAGAAATTTGAATAAAGATAAAGATAAAGATTCTCAAATCAGGTCTGAGAGTTTTAGAAGATTAAGCAGGGCCAGCATTTCCATTTCTTGGGAAAAGGGAGGTTCGGTGGAATTTGAGGATGATAAACGTGCAACCTTTATTTTGGCCCTCAAAAAGAGGAAAAACACTGCCGCTGAAAACTTTTGCTAACTTTTCAACATATTCTTGGGGAGGGAAAGATTTTGCTGCTAAATTGCAGGGACAGTGATCTAAGGATGCTTTGTTGCAGTGTTTTTCAAATTTGGCAAGTTTAAGGTGTGTGATTCAACTTCAAGGCAAACTACAAGTTTAAGATAACAACTCCCGGAATCGAAGTCCATGCATCTTAAACTTGCAAAATTTCAAAACCACTGCTTTAGGGACTGCAGAAACAAAGCTGGAGACAATTGGGCTCATGGACTCAGTGGTGGAATTCTATTTTTTTTACTACCGGTTCTGTGGGCGTGGTTTGGTGGGCATGGTGTGGCTTGGTGGGCGTGGCAGGGGAAGAATACTGCAAAATTCCCATTCCCTCCCCACTCTGGGGCCAGCCAGAGGTGGTATTTGCCGGTTCTCTGAACTGCTCAAAATTTCTGCTACTGGTTCTCCAGAACCTGTCAGAACTTGCTGAATAGCACCCCTGTTCATGGTGTTTTGGAGAACATAAGCAGACTCCCAGTTCTTTGGATTTCAGCTGCTGCTGCCCTTTCAACTGATTCTAAATAAAATGATAACTGTCCAGACTTTCCAACTTGCAGGATAGAGAACATGTAAGAGCTTACTACAGGTAATCAAACAATAATTCAGACTGTATTTCATGCTGCTTTGCAGCTGCCAACCACTGTTGAGAAACCATTTGTCTCAAAGAAACAACAGCCTTGGGTTTTACATTTGAGTTTTCAAATTTCACCAGGCTCAAGGTTGACTCAGCCTTTCATCCTTTCGAGGTAGGTAAAATGAGGACCCGGATTGTGGGAGCAATAAGCTGACTTTGTATAAAAAAGAACACCGCTTGGGGGGGCCGAAAGCCCTACTAAGCAGTTATATACAAAAGTATGAAGGCTATTGCTTAACGCATTGTAAGCCGCCCTGAGTCTCCGGAGAAAGGGCAGCATATAAATTGAACCAATAAAATAAATAAATCTGCATAGAGTTAGACCTCACAATTTAGAAGAGACTTCAAGATAAGTCAGCCATCAAAACAGGCATTACTGTTTAAAATACTACATTAATGCCCCACAATATTAATAGTAAAATACCTTGTTTCTTTCCCACTCGTGGAGTTGGGTCGCTCCGTTCTCCAGATTCTTCGGATCTTTTTCTCGGATCGTGAATATCCAGTCACCCGAGTCACTGCCACCTGATGCCTGCTCATCTGTTTCACTTTAACACAAATAAATTTCTGACATTTACAAGATGGTCTTGTTATTTATGAAGAACTGATGACAGTACAAAACTGGCATATTCAATCATATTTGAAGGCAACAACAAAAATTTAACTTATATTAGAAATAAAAATGATACAAGGGATGTTTTTACTAATTACGAATTAAGGCTCCTTAGTTTAGCTCAGATAACAACCTTTGTATCTCTTGGAAACTTGTAGGAAGCAAATTAAAGCAAACAAGCAATGTATTTGTTTATCCCACCCTCATTTGTCTTGATTAAAATGTTAATGTTTGTTCAAGTTAAAATAAGTCAAGTCTGTGAGCGGACAGAAAGATCTTTTAATAGCAAGTCAAAATCCTACAAAATGTTAAGATAAGTAGTATTTGTATTTGCTTTATCAAATTTTGTATTTGACAAAGTAGACCACAACCTACTTCTTGGAAAAATGTGGGATAGACAGCATCACCACCTGGTGGATTTGTAACTGGCTAACAAACCATACTCAATGTGTAGTCCTCAAAGGAACTACATCCACACTGAGGGAAGTAAGCAGTGGAGTACCCCAAGGTTCCATTTTAGGCCCAGTACTCTTCAATATCTTCATAAATAATCTAGATGAGGGAGTAGAAGGGGAACTCATCAAATCTGCAGATGACACCAAGATGGCAGGAATAGCTAACACCTCAGAAGATAGACTCAAGATCCAGATGGATCTCAACAGACTTGGATATTGGGTCCTGTCTAACAAAATGAAATTCAATGTAGATAAAAGGTTTTACACTTAAACAAGAAAAACCAACTGTACAGGTATAGACTAGGTCAAACCTGGCTCAATGCCAGCAACTATGAGAGGGATCTTTGAATCCAAGTGGACAATCACTTAAATATGAGCCAACAGTGTGTGGCAGTAGCCAAAAAAAGCCAATGCAATTCTAGGCTGCATTAATATAGAATCAAGATCATGTAAAGTATTAGTACCATTTTACAAAGCCTTAGTACAGGCACACTTGGAATACTGCAAACAGTTTTGGTCACCACAATATAAAAAAAAAATGTAGAGACTCTGGAAAGAGTGGAGAAAAGTGTAACAAAGATTATTGGGGGCCGGACACTAAGACATATGAAGTTGCAGAAATTGGTTATATCTAGTAAAAAGAAGAACTAGGAGAAATATAATAGCAGTACTCCAGTATTTGAGGGGTTGTCACAAAGATTAGGGAGGTAAACTACCATATTTTTCAGAGTATAAAACGCACCTTTTTTCCCCAAAAAAGGGGGTAAAAATTTAGGTGTGTCTTATACACCGAATGTAGCACCGCCCACCACTGGCCCCCACCCTTTGGCCTCTGCCTCCCAGCAGTTTACCTCCTTGCAGCAAGCAGCAAGAAGAAACAGCTCGTTTCAGCTTCAGCACAGCCTAATTAGCACAAGTTGATTGGATCAGCCTCCAGACACTCAGCTGTTTTGCTCTCAGCTGTTTTCCATGGGCCTCTGCTACTTGCTGCAAGGAGGTAAATTGCTGGAGCAGATTTTTTTTTTCCTTGTGCTAATCAAGCTATGCTGAAAACGAAAATGAAAGCAAAGCAGGCTGTTTGCTGTACCGAGGCAAAATTGCAGGGAGGCAGAGGCAGATTTCTTTTTCTTGTTTTCCTCACCAAAAAAGGTAATGCGTCTTATATTCCAAAAAATACGGTATTTTCCATAGCACCAGAAGGCAAGAAAAGAACCAATGGATGGAAACTAATCAAAAAAAAGAGAAGCTACCTAGAACTAAGGAGAAATTTCCTTACAGTGAGAACAATCAACCAGTGGAATGTCTTGTCTTCAGAAGTTGTGGGTGCCCCATCAGTGAAGGCTTTCAAGAAGAGACTGGAAAGCCACTTGTATAAATTCTTCTGCTTGTGCAGGGAGTTGGATTAGATGACCTCCAAAGTCCCATCCAACTCTGTTATTCTATGTGCTATGTATATTTGTGAATACATGTTTAGTGCCCAAATATATAGTAATCAATTTGTTCTTTCAAATAGATTAAATATACAATAGAGAATAACCTAACATTTATTCTGTTTTCTCCTTCCCACTATAGAGTATATATTTATTCCCTATATTTTCTTCTCAAATGAGAAGATCCATTTGCATGATTCATGGTTAGAATCAGTAAGAAAGGGAATTGGATATGGCCAGTGGAAAGACTAAGGTTATGGAGAAAGCCTTTAAGAGAAATTCAGGAAAACTTTCAAGACCTTGAAGACTCTTCAAAATCAGGGATGATGGTAATGATTTTTAATTTCTGTATATAAAGTGGTAACAGAATTGCCAAGAATTAGAAATACTGAGATAAGGGATGATATTTGTCTAAAACTTTGCATTCTTAGAATGGTAGAGTATGCACATATTTACTTGAACATAATTTTCGAGAACATTACGTTGGCTACAAATCTTTTGCTACTTTTTAAGAGATTGATTCAGAACACATCTAAGAATAGACTTCTGAACCTCTCTGTGAATCTCATCCATCGTATCTGAAGTACTCCTTCATCCTCAAACACCAAACTGATAACTTTTGGGCTCACACTCACCCATCTGAATCTTCAGAGCTGGAATTATCATGATTCTGCTCGGCCTTCCATCTTTTATGTCTGTCAATGAGATCTGTCAAGTAGGAAGTTTTCTTTGCATTTCGTATTATAAATTTGTGCTTCAGGAGTTCTTTGGCCGTTGGTCTCTTAAAAATAGAAAGTAAGTTTCTTTACTAAACTGATTGTAACTATTGTAACTAATCAGTTACAATATGGCTAAATTTATTTATTTGTTTATAAAATTTATTGGCCGCCCATCTTAGAAAGAGTGGTTAAGAGTTTCCACAAATTTTGAAGCAATGGGGAGGAGGGATCAATGAAAATAAAAGTGATATTACTTGTATAGCTCTTGTTATCAATCCTATTGATCTCACCTCCACCCATTTATCCATGCCTCAGAATCTCATATATTTGTAAAAAAAAATGTTCTGCAATTGCTCTTTATAGAATAGATTATGTATAATTCATTTTTCTTACTAAAAGTACATTTTTCATATAATGGAAAAGTAACATTTATTCAAACAGTAATTGTGTTTATTTTGAATTTACATTATAATGTTTTCATTCTTGTAGCAAATTAAGTGTATAAACCCAGGAGCTTCTCTTTTTGTTTAATATGTGGAATAAGAAACTATCAATGTTGACTTCTGGTTGACACTGCAGTGAGATCAGACACAAGGAGTGGGTCTTCGCACTCCTGTGCCAAGTTCTCACTGTTGGTGGGCTCCAAAAGGAGCCAAAGCCACCCTGTAGTGCTTAACTACAGGGTGTAGTGTATGATTAACAGCGCTATTTTTATTTGTACTAAAATGTATGATACCCAGATGCCACATTGTTCATGCATTGATATGGATATATTGTAAAATAAAATAAAAAACTTGAAAAAAGAAAGAAAGAAAGAAAGAAAGAAAGAAAGAAAGAAAGAAACTTATCAATGCTGTAAATTAAGACAGGTTATTTCTGTAGAAAGTGTAGAAAGAAAAATACATATTTTCCAAGTGAAACAATCCAATTTGTCTCATGTAATGAATCTGAAATGTTATCATTACCATCATTCATTACTTCTCATTCTTTATTATTTCATTTTCATGAATTTCTATAAATGTTTTACATAAACTGTATTTATGCAAATATATTTGAATATATTTCTCCACCTTTCCCCAATCAGTTTATTTCTTTAGTTGATATATTTCTTTCAAGTCTTAATTGCCTTACGTATCATTAAAAATAAAATATTAATATTTCATAATCCTTTTTTTAATTTCCCGGTTTTGGGGAAGGAGGATTTCTGAAACTACAAAAAATAAAAATGTTTTTATTTCAGGTCTTCACTATTTCAAACTTTCAACAAGTTTTCAATTATGGAACAGTTCCAAATATCCTCACTATTTTATACAGCACTTGAACAAAATTGTGAGTAGGACAGAAGTAAAGTAGGTAGGTAGGTAGGTAGGTAGGTAGGTAGGTAGGTAGGTAGGTAGGTAGGTAGGAAGGAAGGAAGGAAGGAAGGAAGGAAGGAAGGAAGGAAGGAAGAAAGAAAGAAAGAAAGAAAGAAAGAAAGAAAGAAAGAAAGAAAGAAAGAAAGAAAGAAAGAAAGAAAGAAAGAAAGAAAGAAAGAAAGAAAGAAAGAATTCTCTTTGGCCAAGTATGACTGGACGCACAAGGAATTTGTCTTTGGTGCATATGCTCTCAGTGTATGTAAAAAGAAAAGATACATTCGTCAAGAATCATAAGGTACAACACTTGATAGGTCATTCAGTGTATACACTATATACACTTAATTATGTATATATGTATATATTAAATATACAATAAATGCATACTTCTTCAAATGAAAAGAAGATAGTACTCCATCCTTGGTTTTGAGTAAGGAGCATAAAACAAGTTTAGATTTAACTCTTAGATAGTATACTTATTATTTTTAAAATAAATGTTAAATGGCATGAAAATTCATGTAGGTTCATTCCTAGGGCTCTGAAAAACAAAGACGGAGACAGCTCTTCTGCTGCTACAACATGCAGAGACACCCACCAAAATCTAGTAACTTACAAAGCTGGGATCTTTGTTCAAGCAGGCCTCAACGAACTCCTTTAAAGGTTTGCTGTAGTTTCCTTCCAACGTTGGTGGGTTGTTCTTTGGGATCAGAAATAAAACTTTCATTGGATGTAGTTCAGAATGTGGTGGTTCTCCTTTTGCAAGCTCTATGGCCGTTATGCCCAGGGACCATATATCTGCCTATTAACAGAGGGATGAATTTATAATTTGACGGAAATGAAAAAGTGAAATCATTTACATCTTTTTTTACCAACTGTTCATTTTCAAATGTACCTGTTTTCCTCTCTGCTTCTTAACTTTAGCTACAAAAACAGCTGCTTGGAAAGAAATGCCCAGGGTTGCAAGCATGAGCAAAGCGAGCTTGCCCTTTACATTAACCTCAGTCAAGGAACATCATATTAGTGAAAAAGATGAGAGTTTTAGCCAAGGGTAGAAATGGATTAATATACACATTTCACAGAGGTCAAATCTACTTCTCTTAGCAGACCCGGTCTCACAACTTTTTGTACCTTCTAGAAATGAATCAACTGTTCTCCAATGCTTTTCAGGATTCTTTTATAATGAGCAATCTACATAAATGGCAGCTACACAAAGAATTTTTGTTGTCAGTCGCGTATCAGGTGATATAAAAGCTGCATTATTTTAGCTGGTGCAAAAAGTAGCAGTTAACGATAACGGAGAATATTTGTAACTCAGGTTGAAATGAGGTGTCCTTGGTGGTCTTTGAGCTTGTTTTCTTGCATATGTTTTATTACCCTAACTAGGTAACATCATCAGTGCTCTGATGATGTTACCTAGTTAGGGTAATGAAATGTCTGCAAGAAAACAAGGAAGCTCAGAAAGCACTAAGGGCCCCTCAGTAGCAGTTAACAATAACCAAAGAATTGAGTTGGCGCAGTGGTTAGAGTGCAGTACTGCAGCTACTTCAGCTGACTGCTAGTTCAGCAGATCAGCGGATCAAATCTCACCGGCTCAAGGTTGACTCAGCCTTCCATCCTTCCGAGGTGGGTAAAATGAGGACCCAGATTGTTGGGGGCAATATGCTATTTAGTATACTGTCTTTGGTGTACACGAGACAAAGGTGGAACTCTCTCCTCATGTATCACTCTCCTCGTTGCGTGTATCTGCATTGTAGTTCTCCGTGTAGAGTTGAAGAAGACTGATTGCTTGCCTGGTTTTGCTTAGCATGTGTATGCATATATACTGTATTTAACTTGTATATAAGCCACTGTTTGTAAAGACAAAACCTCTGTATCCTGTATTTTGCTCCTGGGTTGTCTCAAAATAGTAGTCACACTGTGAACACTCTGACACTTTCTCCATTTTTAATAATAGTCTTTATTTCAAATAAACGTGTATTGGAATCCACAGGCCTCTTCTGCAAAGGTCACCTACATGGACCAGCTCTCAAACTCCTACAATTTTCTGCCACTCAGATTAAGCTTCTAAGTATTCTGGAATGTGACTGTAAGCAGAATGCAAACAAGTGGAAAATGCACATCTTTTCCAGCATTCCCATATCATTCCACATGTGAAAATTACAATTGGAAACCATGGAATGGCCGTGCTCTCTTTTATAAAAATTCCCACGGATGAGTTGCCAAAATGCACATTTACACATCTCACAGTGCAAAATATGTTTCCGTCTGAGTGATGCCTGAAAATATTAAGTAGCACATTAATCTTACCTTTGAATCATAAGCAGATTGCTTTATTACTTCTGGTGCCATCCAAAATGGTGTGCCCACAAATGTATTTCTCTTTATTTGTGTATCAGTTAATTGTCCAGCTACACCAAAGTCTGCTAGCTTGACTTCCCCTTGTTCTGAGAGGAGCACATTAGCAGCTAGAAAATATTTTAGAAGAAATTTGTAATTGGAAAAAATAAGCTTAAATTGTTAGAATGCTAACAGAGCCCCAATAGTTTTTTTTTACCTTTAATATCTCTATGAATTTTCTTTTCTGAATGCAAATAATCAAGTCCTTTCAGAATCTCTCTTAATATTGTAGCAATCTGGATTTCATCAAGTGAACCTGGTTCTAACTAGAATAAAATACATTATTTTCAGGACAAAACGCCAAATAATTAATGATCAATAACTTGAAACACTGAAGTCCAATAAAGTACATTTTTATTTATTCTAGTTTTATTTATATTTGTTATAATGCTCAACAATTCTGTCAAGTCCAGGGATATCAACTGGCACAAAGTCACCCAGAAGCATTCTTGGCTGAGAATGTACTTGAATTTAGGCCCTTCAGACATGTTAATCCCTCATATATTTATTTTTGGGGATAGCAAACACGCAGGTTTCTATGAGGCCCATCCATGAATAGAATTTCAAGGTATGGTTTGGAGGTGAAAGACTCATCCATCTGCACATTTGATTAGAAAAATAAAAGCTGTAATTGGATACCCATAAGCTCTAAATGCACTTTCAAATACGTTTCCAATATTATTCAACCAAGATTTTTTTCAGTATATAATTCTTCCTTATTACATGAATAATTAAAATTCTGTTTGTGAAGTTTACAGTTCAGTGGCCATAGATCTATTTTTATGATATACATAAGACACAAAAGCTGCAAGATAATATTTAAAAATTCAGATGAATTATAGAAATTGAAATAAAAACTGGTTACTTACAAGGTCAAGGGCAGATCCACCACCAAGATATTCCATTATTATCCATAATTTTGTGTCCTGTTAATGTGTACAAAATGACGTTCAAATAATGAAAAAAAACTAACATCATCATAATTTTAAGTGTTTACTACATTATGCCTGCCCCTTATCATATCTGTATCTTAATAACTCAAAGAAAGCACATAGAGAATGATAAAATAAATATGATTTGCCACCAGAAATAATGGCTTATTTGTCAGAATAAACAAACAGAGGTACCAGTTACAGGTAGTCCTCAATATATGACCACCGCTGTGATCAGAGCTTCCGTTGCTAAGCAAAGTAGCTGTTAATTGAGTCATGTCTGATTTCCCAGTCATTTTTGCCACGGTTTAGCAAATCACCGTGATTGTTCAGTAAAGCACGTGGTCATTAATCATATCCTGCTTCTTCCATTGATTTTCCTTTTTGGAAGCTGGCTGAGAAGATTGCAAGTGACAATCGCATGACCTTGGAATACTGCAACCATTATAAAATCCATGCCAGGTATCAAAGTCCTGAATTTTGATCATGTGGCTGAAGCACTGTGAAGGTCAGTCAATAAGTGCAAGGACCAGTCAAAAGTAACCATTTTTGGTGCCGCAGTAATTTTATATAAGCCTAGCAGGTCTTATAGAATTAAAGGACAAATTTGGAACTTACAACAAGCCCTCAAAAATATCTTCGAGCTATTCAAAGCAGTTTTACTATACAACAGAAGCAACTAAAAAAACCCTGGATTTCAAAAGCACAGAAATGTTTATCTTCTGCCAAATAATCTTAGATACAAGTCCTAATTTAAGTGATGAGATGCAACCACGCTTTGGACTGAAAATGCCATTGAAACTGCTTTTCTAAAGAATGTGTATTTTAAGCAACAAAGAAGCCTTGGTGTGAAAAGGCAAGCTGCCCTGTCATCTCATTCTCTGGCCTTGGCCCTTCACTTGCCAGAATGCCTTTGGTCTCAGATCAGAAGGACAGACCAGCAGGAGGCTAGGCAGGCAAAGGAGGAAAGGAGCCAGGCAGGATGGAGGAAGGACAGGACATTTCAGGGATGGGATAAGCTGGCTGAGTCACCTTAATGTGGAGGAACCTATGAATGGGTATGAACATGGTTCATTTCTACAAATTTGTGTTTTTGATAGGGTGAGTCTTTAGGCTCAGCCATATAATAAGTGTGCACTAGGGGAACACTAACCTTGTGGAATCACTTGCATTATTTGGGAAAAATCGTTTATCGTTTTTTAGCAGCTGTATAGAAAAAAACATGCAACTTACTCAGCATCTGCACTGCTTTATTGATCTACAAAACAGCCATTCACTGGACAACTTTGATTACAATCAAAGGAACGGTATTAGAAATGGCTCTATGGCTGGGTTTCAAAGTTGAAAAATTCAGTGAAATGCCATCTATTCTGGAAATGGTAAAGTGGAATTGTGGCATTAAAAATACGTGCAGGCTAATATAAAGCAAATAAGAAACTGGAAGGGACTGAAAGCAATACAAAGCTGTAATAAACTATCATTCCAATGGCAAGAGATCAAGTAATTCTTGCTTATTTTTTTACTGAGCATAATAAGAGTGAAGACTGTTCAGAGCTCCGATCACATCCTTGTATGGGTAAAGGTTTAGTATCATTTAAAGAAAAAAAAAAAGGAAATTATCTTTAAAGCCTATTGACTATGGCTTCAGAAAAATAGGAGGGAAGACCTAGAACAGGGGTGTCAAACTCACGGTGTCATGATGGCATCACGTGACATATCACAACTTTTCCCCCTTCGCTAAATCGTGCATGGGCGTGGCCAGCACGTGACACATCCAGCCTGTGGGCCGCGAGTTTGACAGCCCTGACCTAGAAGATGGCCTTATTCTGACTATTTCCTTCCTACTGCATCTATATGTAATATGAACATCTCTCTCATAGGACTTTATCTATCTAATGAAGAGGACATGAACCACAAAATAAGATGCCCCAAGACTCCCTGTTTTGTTTTTATTGAAAGGATCTAATCCCAGACAAGAAATGAATCCAGTTTTTTAGCTATATTGGAGAAAAACTATTGAAGCTAAAAACTGAGACCATGGCAATAAATTGCCTAAACCCACTTGAATTTCTATGATCAGGTGTTTTCTTTTGTTTGGTATGGTACTGTATTGTTTTACAAAAATCTCTAGATCTTTACTAACTTGATAATACAAAAACTCAATGGCAAAGAAATCAGCTTCTAAAGTCAGTCAATTCTGGGGGGGGGGGTTGTCATTACAACTGAAAGCCTTACATCGATTTACTTATCCCTCTACTCTCACTTCAGCTTTTTTGATTTTCACAATCTGAATTAGGAAGGTAATGTTTTTTCTCTATTCTTCTCCCCAGCTAAATCACTGATCTGGAAATCCTCGCCAATCTACAGCAATTGGCCAAAAATATACCAGTACATTCAAATTTATTTTAGCCTGTTCTGCACTAAAGAACATGTCCAACAAACTTTAACTGAATTCTTTCAGATTGACTTAGTCCATTAAGCTATAGCTAAAAGTAGCCTCAGGACACTTATACGTCTCAGTTCAAGGGCATTCAGTACCGAAATTAAAAGTAGCCAGTGCTAGACAGAATTCTTGTTCTTCAAGGTGACATTTGTAATGACTTAAAATATCTGCATACTCAATTCAGTAAATAAGGGTTCTGAAAACTAAGATTAATAAAATGGGCTGGCAACTTATGGAACAGCATTCCCTTAGAGCAGGGGTGTCAAACTCGCAGCCTGCGGGCCAGATGCGTCACACGCTGGCCACCCCCACCCCCGGTTTAGCGATATATCACGTGATGACAACGTGATGCCACAAGTTTGAAACCCCTGCCCTAGAGATTCAAATACTCATGATCCTATTAGTCTTTCACAAGGCGTGGAAGTTTTCCTCAAGATTTGGGTCAGGAGGTTAGCTGAATTCTGTTGTTACTGATGTGTTTTTTTATGAACAGGGACACTGTTCATTCTTGGGCACTACACTTATGGTTTTCAAGTTTTTAAATCTGGGTGAGATAGCAATCATATAAATAAATAATAACCTGCATGTAATCCTAAAATCTCTTCTTCAGTCTCCAAAACACAGCTTCCTAGAGCATATTTCACATTTTTAAGTCAGGATGGGGTTCACCCATTTTTTAAAAAAGAAGACCCGCACTGCAGCTCTTGGAAACAGTACAATAAATACATTTGGTTGTGTGGTTGTGCGCTTCCACAATAAAGGATGTGTGGCAAGACTTTTTTGAGAAACACAAACTGTTCATGACACATCTACCAAAGAAAAGATTTCATAGGAATTTAATATTTGGCTTCTGTCACCTTAGAACAATTTCAGTATTACTATTAGATAATATGCATATATATGTGTGTGCGCGAGTATCACATACATACAAACATGTTTACCTTAATCTCTATTCTCAATTTATGAATTTTGACTGAGGGCAATACTGGAACCTTTCATGTAACATCTTTACAACAACAAAATGCAGATTCATTAACAAATATTTTGGATTACAAAAAGTAGGTTTGTGTTTCGAAAACAGGAACTGTTTCTTGTAATAATAAACTCAAAATAGAATCTTAAAAATCCTCAGAAACATAAGCATCTGCAGGGAAGAGCCTGTTTTGCCAGAAGAACAAGTAAAACCTGTGTTTGTTCAATTGCTGTTGAAGCTGCAATAAGGTCAAACAGGACAGGCAAAAAAAAGGGAACAGCAAGCATTTATGGAAACTTCTCAGTTCTGATAGAGTGATTCAGCAGGACATCAAGAATTAAAGCCAAATGAGAAAGCTGTTTTACTTCAAATCCAAGTGCCAGTAGGGTCTTTTAATAACGTGATATGAAAAAACTATTTTTCTCAATGACTGAATTTATCTTGTCAATAATTGTGCAGTAACTTTAAACATTAAAAAGGTTTGGAAACTGAAAAAAGTTATACATGTTTGATCATTTTACTTAACAATACTCTTGAGATAGCTTTAATCTTTATTATTATTTAAACCCTGGGTATCATGATGATCAACTGTCCTCAGATATTGGTATATTTTTTTTGAGGGGAAATACAGATCAACTTCCAATTTATCTTCTGAATGCTAATCCTTGCAAGAAAAGGAATATTAATGTCTGTCATGTTTAGTTTTCCACTCAGCTACAAGGAAAATGCACATCTTAACTATGAAGAATATATTTGGCAAAACAAATTGTAAGATAATTTACAGTTGGGAGACAACTAAGGAAGCTGTAACACAAATAGCTTCAACGTGATAGGAAAGTAATATCCATATAAAGGTTTATTAGTAAAACCAGTCAATTTGTTAAACTGGATTCTTAGTCAGATTTTGAATTTTATCTACATTATTACTGCATACAAATCACTGCAAAAGACCTGATCTGTCTAAACAACATATTTTTACATATCTGTATCTTTCTACATTACAGTAAAATATACAGATAGGGAGCTGTAGACTTAAAAATTATAGTCTTTATGCGTGACTATAACGTACCATACAATTGTTGCTTCTTCTTTTTAAGGATTTCAGAATTTGCGGCCTGTAACAAAATTGGCCAAAAGTGGAGCCAGCCCTACCATTCTGACATTTTAAATCTCATAACTCATTGGACAATTATTTCTGTGCTACTTTTCAGTTATAGCATTCGGCTTTTATTGACAGACGTCATTTCTTTCTCTTTTTTCCCCCTGCTACAAATACAGCAATATTCCATTAAAGGTAGTCCACATTTAGTAGATACAATTCAGACCAGCAACTCTGTAGCTAAGCAAAAGATTGAGTTATGATGTCATTTCCCATTTGGTCATTAAGCAAATCACCATGGGTTATTAAGCAAGACATTAGGTGACCATGACTTGTGATTTTACTGCCGGCTTCTCCATTGACTTGTTAAAAGCTGGTTGTTAAGTACACAAATAGCAATCAAATTACCACGGGACACTGCAGCAGTCATAAATGTGAGGACTGATTGCAAAAGTACTTTTTCAGTACCATCATAACTTCAAACCATTACTAAACATAGTCATTAGGGGAGATATACCTATAGTACAATCCCACAATCAATCCTACATAACCAATCCAACAAATTTGGAAAGTATCTATTGTACTTCTAACTGGAATATAATCAGCCATATATCCACAGAAAAGCAAAAAATAAAAAAGGAAAATAAGCAGAAACAAACTATATCATAATCAAGATAATACTAAATTTGTAACAGTTCAACTATTTCAAGGGTGTCAAACTGAAGGGTCGAATCTGGCCCGCTGGGTGCTTAGATCTGGCCCACAGGCCACCCTGGAAACAGCGAAAGACTGCCCCCCCCCCAGTGCCTGCCAGCAAAAACGGAGCTTGAGAGGGCCACACGTGGTCCTCCCAACTCCATTTTCAGCTGTGATGGCCTCCTGCAGCCCTCTGCCAGCGAAAACGTCCACGTCCATCCTGGCCACGCCTCCCCCAGCCCACTCGAGGTCAAACACAATCCTGTTGCGGCCCTCAATGAAATAGAGTTTGACACCCCTGAACTATTGTATACATAACTAGTTTTTTTTAATTCTCTTTAAGAAATGAGCCTTTATGGAAGACTTATAATAAAGGATATAAGAAGTGGTTATCTCAACAGTCCCTAGATTCTACTTCTGTAGCAACAGCATAAGCCATTCACTTCACTCTGAACATCTATCATTATGTATCACCCGCACAACTGTCCTTCCAAAGCAACCAAGAGTCTTAAATACTTTTATTCTGCAAGCTATCATACATTTCCAACATGGATCTCTCTATAGGTTTTCAGATATCTGACCCATTTGACTTTGGTAAGCCAGGGTTTTGTGCCATCTGGATTCTGAGAATATTTTATTTAGCATCTGTTATCTTCTGTAAATTATATTTCTAAAAGGTTTGTGGATATTTTGAGGATTGCTTATTTTGCCTATTTTTTTTCCAAGGCTCTCAGCGCGCATTTGAGAGCACAAGGCAGTTTGACATTTTAGCGCCACCTTCTGGGGAAATAGAAGAATGAAGCAGAAATAATGATCCATTTCTAAAGTCTCATTTAAAGGACAACTATACTGCAGGCACATGTTCGATACTGTTTGAGGAAAGCCATGAAATCTCACTGTATCTTGTTGGATTAGTGCAAAAGGAAAAAAATATATTTGAAACCAGGAATTCCTAGTCACTGTGGTGGTAGGGAAAGCAACAATGATTCAGCACCTAGCCCATCCATGCTATTGCCATGCTGATCCTCTTCCTAGACTTAGTTTAAATATAGACTCTTAGACTACACAGTGTTAGTGTACTATAGGTGCAAAACAAAAATCAAATAGTAACTAAAATATCCTTGTGCACTGACATGATTCTCCAGGACAGATCTAGTGACCTTCAAGAACTTTTATCTAATTCTACAAGCTGAGAACATTTCGTTCTCCAAACTACAAAACTCACTCATGCACTGTTTCTTTTAATACCAAACTTGGCATCTCTGTGGAGTTTCTACAGGAAAATGCAGCGGCTTTTCCAATTTATACCGAGTTCTGGTTTCTACTCTCACAGGCCCCCGAACGTTCAGGGCAAGTTCTTAAAGACTGAAGTACAAAACCTGGATACACACAGCATTCACATTATTAGCAACTGAGAATTACCTATGGTAACTCTGCCTCAGCTACTATCTCTCTAGATATATGCAAAAAGAAGAACCACCCACATTGCATGGATCATGGACACTGGTACCTGATGTCACATGAGCCCTACAGGAATTTCCAAAATCCAGAAACCAACTCTTAGATTTCTGACCACCTGTCTGAAAAGTCCACCATGGTCCATTCCTATTCATTCCTAAGTGTTAGACTAGGTATCATCTAAAATTTATTGGATCAAGAACTACTAGGAGCTTCTGCTTTGCTCCTTCAATAACCACATCAAAGTTATTATTTATTTAATTTATATCCACCTTAACTACCTTAGTTAAAAATATCAATCTAAGTAAAATTTAATAAAAGCAGTTACAAACAACTATTCCCTTAGTCTGATGAACAAGAGCTAAGCTGGCTAGGAAGACTTTCTTAACCACAGTAATATTTGGTACTGAGAACATCTCCAAAGAGAAGTACATTCCATAGTAAGAAGCAAGATGAGGGAAAACCCTCTTCTGGGTATCCACGAAACAAGTTAGGAAAACTTTTAAGAATCTTTTTGGCTGATCTTAATGTCCAGAAAACTTCAACAGTGAGGGAGATAGTTCCTGAAATTGTCATATCATAAGCTATTTAAGCCTTTAAAATGCAACACCAAATCTTCTGAGGCTTCCCAAGCTAAGGAAACCGTCAGTGTTGGTGAAGGGGATTGCAAATGGAAAGAGACAAGAAATGAGAGTTGTGCAAAAGAACTTCCCTCGCTGCGGATAAGATGAACAACCTGCAAAATGAGTCAGGATTATCTTGCATTCTGGATGCTTTCCAAATGACAACTCCCAAGATTCTTCATAAGAAAAGTAGTAATTAAAAGGTTAAATTAGCACCAAAGTTGTATTTATTCATGAAAAAGTTATGTGTGGGGATATATCACCCCGCATAACATACATACATGTATGCATGTATATAAACGTATATACACCTTCTCTAAATATTCTGACTTTATAAGAACACATGTACTTCAATATTATATTGATCAGTTTTCAGCATATATTGATGTCTCTATATAAATAAGCAGAAAGGTCTTACAGAATGAATGAATGAATGTTTCATTTTGTCTAGGCTTCCAAATGTCAGAGGGCTTCATTATAGATGTTTTACAAATACTCCGATTCATAAAATAGGCACACTGTGAAGAAAACACTTACCTTTAAATAAGACCCATAATATTTGGTGACATATGGACTGTCACACTGACTGAGTACTGTTATTTCTTGCTGTATATCTTCTATTTCATCTTCAGCTTCTTCAAGATCAATGATTTTTATAGCAACAACTTTCTGTGTTCGATTGTCAATGCCTTTAAAAACTTCACCAAACGAACCTTTGCCAATCTTCTCCAGTTTTGTAAAGAGTTCTTCTGGATCTGCCTTCAAATTCTGGAAGAAATATTTCAAGGAACATAATAAATAAAGCTGAGGTTCCTGGATTCATGATTCTTCCACTTAAAATGGAGGAAATTCCAGAAACAAGAAATATAAAAGACTCAAAACAAAGGATCCATGAAAAATAAAGCAAAAGTAGAAATAAAATTAGATTTGGTTTTTAAAAATTATAGATTATATTTGGGGGGTTTGCAAAACTGAAGGACTTGAGCAAACAACCAGGATGTTGGTTAAAAACAAAACAAAATTGGAAGGGGAAGTGAGGGACAAAGGTAAAGAGAAGACAAGGGTATATTATCTTCTGTTTTGGCTATTATCTCTGCAATTACTTTGAAGACTAAGATTTACACACCATTTGCGACCTATCTCATCAATTTAAAATTCAACCTACAAACATGATAGCATACTTTAACTTCCTTTTTCAATAAGCACCTAAAATTACAACAGAAATGCAGTTTCACACTGTGGAGTCTAATATTAAATATACTAGTGCTGTAATAAATCTTTTTATTATAAACAACAGGGAGCAGATTGATCACAGTCAAGTATAACTTGAACATTACACAAAGTTAACACCATTATTGAAGTTCCATTATTACTTAAGATTAAAACACCATCCATATTTGGATGGGTTACAAATCTTCATAGGTAACAGCCATAAATTGAAATAGTGGGAAAGGATGAGAGGCAGCTCAAGAAAAAATAACAAGCAATCATCACTCTGGAATAGTCTGCCACTGTGACTTCCACAGAATTGATCCACATCATCAGTTATTGGAAGATGTATTTTAATTAGTCTGTTTTTGATTTCAATATTTTTGCATAGGCACAGAATGAATATATTTGATATATAATTTAAAAAGTACCTAAGCAGTTTAACTCTAGTTTAGTTTGGCTGATGTCAAGAAAATCTAAGCAGGATTGAGACACCATGAAGTCCCTATGGTTTTGATGGTGAAACAAAAAAAAAAGCACTTCCTGGAAGTAGCAATAGTAAACCATTATTGTCAAAATAATAACTTGATCATACTCATGAAATCAGCAGCGGTCAGTTTACACACCAGAAAGTATTTTCCTTCTATGGTTCTGTGCCATGAACCTTTTGGAGAAAAGACTGCGAAACCTACAGATTTCCAACCTCTTTTCAGGAAAATGTATTTAAATGCATAGATCTAGGCCGGGGTCCCCAACTTTGGCAACTTTAAGCCTGGCGGACTTCAATTCCCAGAATTCCTCAGCCATTTTATTTTCTTCATAAAGATAGTCCCCAACTTACAACCACAAATGGGACTGGAATTTGCACCCCTGAGCAATGTGGTCATAAAGCAAGATGCCATGTGACTTAGAAACCGCAATCCCAGCACTCCCTGTTAACTGAGAACTGCAGGTCATTAAGCGAATACCCATCCTTATCCAAGATACTTTGGGCATGATTTCTCCCAGTCCCAAATCTCAGTAATGTGTTGTTTCTAATTTCCTCCACCTGCCTACCTCCCCGCCATCTCTGCCCTTCTGGCTGCCCTGCACCCTGCCTAGTGGGTAGAGGCAGCCCCCCAAAACATGCAGCACTGAGACTGTAGTGCAGGGAGAAGCCACAGCCACTCCAGTCCGCTCTAGAAGCCCAGCGCCAAACCGCAGTGTCTGGGAAGCCCAGTAAGCACCAGCATTTGTTCGCCTAGTTGCCTTCTCTCCCACCTTCCCACGCTATCCTCTTACCATTTGTGCCAACCATCACAGTTGAAGCAGAAGCACCTCACTGCCTTTGCTGTCTTTTTGGACCAGCTTGTATCCACTTCTCCAGCAAATGCTTCCTACATGTGCCCCCCCCCCTCCCAACCCTGATCTAGCAGCCTGGCAAAAATAACAATGCCAGCCAATGGGGAAAGCCAGAACTAGTTTCACCCAGTGGAAAAACACAGGTGGTTGGCTCCAGGAGCCACATGTAGGAAGTATGAACCAACCCTATGCCAACTTGCAGCGTTTTCCCATTGGGTGAAATCAGTGGTGAAATCCAAATTTTTTTACTACCGGTTCTGAGGGCATGGCTTGGTGGGTGTGATGTGGCTTGGTGGGCGTGGCAGGGGAAGGATACTGCAAAATCCCCATTCCCTCCCCACTTCTGGGAGAAGGATATTGCAAAATCTCCATTCCCACCCCACTCTGGGGCCAGCCAGAGGTGGCATTTGCTGGTTCTCCGAACTACTCAAAATTTCCGCTAACAGTTCTCCAGAACCTGTCAGAACCTGCTGGATTTCACCCCGTGTGAAACCATTTCGGGCCTTACCCCACGGACTAGAATTCTTATTTGCACCATGCTACTGGGCCAGACTGGGGACACACATGTAGGAAATGTTTGCCAGAGATGCTGGAGCACCATGGTGGCCACAGGTCCAAAAAGGAGACAGCAAAGGCAATGAGGCAAAGTCAAAAGTGGATGTGGGGAACTGGAGGAGAAGGCAGCTGGGTGAATGAATGCTTGCTGGTGCTTCCTGGGCACCGAGGTCTGGTGGCAGGCTGGGTTGGCCATGACTTCCAGGGGCTTTGTACCGTGCTGCGACTCAAGATCGTCTTGCAGCCCTAAAGGCACAGGGTTCTGTGTCTGCTTGCAAGGCAGGATATAGGGTGAGGGTGGCCCAAAGGCAGAAATGGGAGGGGGATGGAGGGGGGGAGATATAAGTGCAAGTGAGCTGCCCAGCAGCCAAATTTTGATCACATGACTGGAGACACTGCAACGTCCGTAACTTCAGAGAAGGATCATAAGTTGATTATTTTTTTCAGCACCATCGTAACTTTTTTTTTTTTAATTTATATGCCGCCCTTCTCCGGAGACTCAGGGTGGCTTACAATGCGTTAAGCAATAGTGACTTTGAACAGTCACTGTACAAACACTTGTAAGTCAAGGATTCCAGGTATTGCTAAAAGTCAACAATGACCCAACCCAGGCTGGAGGCATCATGCATAGGATGAAGAAAGCCTAAGTCATCTCTCAGCCCCTAAACCCTCTTATACACCATGAAGAGGGAGCAGCTCGGTACAGGTAGTCCTCGAATTACAACAGCTCATTTAGTGACCCTTCAAAGTTACAACAGCACTGAAAAAAGGGACTGATGATCATTTTTCACACTTACGACTGTTGTCCCCATGGTCCCGTGATCAACATTTGGATACCTGGCAACTCGTTCATATTTATGACGGTTGCAACGTCCTGGGGTTATGTGATCTGCTTTTGCAACCTTCTGATAAGCAAAATTGATGAGGAATCTAAATTCACTTAACGTTACTAACAAATGCAATGGTTCACTTAACAATGGTGGCAAAAAAAGTCATAAAATGGGGCATAACTCACTCAACAAATGTTTCGCTTAGCAACATAATTTTTGGGTCCAATTATGGTCGTAATTCAAGGACTACCTGTACAGTCAGATGCATGGCTCCACTTTGTGGTTATTTCTAACCTCATTTCTTTGGAGAATAAATGTCTACTTAAGCATAAGCATCAGTTCAGGTTTAGACAACAATCTGTCTCACAGAATGTGGAGAAGAATGCCGAGAATTCATCCTGAGAGCCAAATTTGTCTTAGATTAATCTGTGTTAGATTAAACACTGAAGCAAGCAGTATAAGGAAACAAAGGGCAACTGAGAATGGAAAATTGATAAAGCATGAAGATGATATTGAAATTGTGACTTTGAACAATAATTTATAACCATACTGCATGAAAGACTATTAACAGGATATAAAATTCCATATTCAATAGCGCTTTTTGGCGCTAATCCTAATACTGTAGATATACACAAAAATCCAACATGCCAAATATAAATATAATGCTTTGATTGAGTTGACTATCTATACATGTGTGTGTGTAGGTAGGACATCATGATGATGATGATGGTGATGATGATGATGATGATATATCTAAATCCCAACTTTCCTCTATCATAGTTTTCAAGGTTAATATGTAGGCAGAACCAGGCCCACATAGTTTCAGCAAAGTTCCTGTATTTTTAACTTGCTCTTTCATTAATCCTATTTAAAAGTAAATCCTATTTAAAAATATTAAGAGCCCAAATTAATTAAGCAGCAACCACACACTGAAAAGTCCTGAGCAACTGAATAGTTTGTTCCCTTTCCTCAAGACAACTGGAACACAAAATGATTCACCTCAATCTGACAAAATGGTGTTGGAACGGAATGTACAGAAAATCAGTTAAGTATATCCTATATTCCCTTTAATTTTGAACAATGACATTATGATTCTAGACACAAGAGCTATACACAGCATTTTCAAGAGGTGTTTCCCAGAATACTTTAAAATAAAGCAAGGATCTCTCTTTGGAGCATTCAACTAGCTACATCTTTTGCAAAGCTCACCTGTCCCTAACCATTTTAATGTCTGTGTGCATAAGCAACACTTCTTGCTAGTCCCAGTGAAACTGTTCCCTGGAAATGCCCACACAGGCAACAGGGGACAAATAACAATGCATTTAAAGATTAGTGCTGCAATAAAATAACCAGATGCATTTTCTTTGGACAGGCAAGTCTTTTTACAAGTAGTAGTAACTTTTTACATTTTAGTTTTAGCTAGAAGTGCACAGAATCCTAGGGATGTGTGGTTGAAATAGCAATAAAAGTAAAAAAAAATATATACAGATACATGATCATCCCAGAAAGAAGGAAGTAAATGAGTCAAAAGGAAGCAGATTCATCTATCACACTGATTTTGCCGTTTTTGTGCTTCCCGAAACGTAAGAAATTATGCTATGAAAAGTCACTTAAGGGCCACTAAAATGAAGCTGGAGGGTTAATCACAGTCCATCTACATTGTGTGCTTGATTTTATTGTACTGGCTGTTGACTTGTTTAACTACATAGGTTGGCTTCACTGCGAGCCTCTGAAATATGTAATTTTAATAAATAAGCAAACAATGCTGCCTTAACCAGTTTGATGTCCCTTCCAGGTATGTTCAACTAAAGTTTCTATCATCCTCAGGCAGCATGGCTAATACTGGTAATTAGGACAGGAACTGCATTACAACACACCTGGAAAACATTTGGGAATGACTACATAGCAAATTATTCCAGATGAACAATAGGGAATCTTTTCCAAAGGTTTAAATTGTAAGGATTTTCCCCCTTTAATTTAACTAACATAAGAAGACATGCAGACTAGGAAGTTTTGAAGAATTGAGAGTTTCAATTTAAGATAGTCCAAAAGCCTTGTTAAAAATAAAATACAGGTAGTCCTCGATTTACAATCATTTGTTTAGTGACCATCTGAAGTTACAACGGCACCAAAGCAAGTAACTTACGACCATTTTTTAAAATCATGACTACTGCAGCATCCTCATGGTCACGTGATCAAAATTCAGACACTTGGCAACTAAATCGTATTTTTTATGGTTGCAGTGGCCGGGGTGATGTGATCACCTTTTGCAACCTTCTGACAAGTAAAGTCAATGGGAAAGCCAGATTCACTTAACAACTTTGTTACTATCTTAATAACTGCAGTGATTCATTTAACAACTGTGGCAAGAAATATCATAAAACGGGGCAAAACTCACTTTACAACTCTCTTGCTTAGCAACAAAAATTTTGGGCTCAATTGTGGTCCTAAGCCGAGAATTACCTGTATAGACTATATTTGCAAAGAACTAAGACAATAAATTAAAAATGTAAACTAAAAGGACTTACTATATGACAATATTGTGGAATAGTATCAAAAACTCTTTTTGAGAAATGATTCAGAAGAATTGAGATATAAAGTGCTATTTACACAATTATGCTGTGGAGGATAGAAGACTAACAGGTAACCTATATGCAATTTTCTGATACAACTTGATTCATCCACTGGATACAAGACTGATCCAATGGGAATAAGGTGACTTTAAGTAGTCTTCTCTCATTTAAAAAAGCATATTTAAATATAGCTGTACTTGGATAATATCATACTGTATTTGTCAAAGTTTTAAATCTCTTTTGATGATATTTTGAGATAGGTTAAACTATGAATTACATTTTTATAAGTAAAAATGTCCTATTTTTACCATTTATAATTCAACACCAGGGAGTCCAATCACGGTAAATCTCACTTTCACCAATAATTATACCTATATTTCAAACCATGTAAACTACATTGAATTCACACAGAAATCCACTCCCACTTCCACTACCCAAGAAGCACCTGGAGACTTTTGTACTATGATCCTGGACCCATCACTATAGTGGACTTTTATCTGCCAAAAAACAGCTTACCTGCCAGGTAAGAGCAAAGTAAGTAGTCATAATTTATTTTGGCCTACTTTAAAACAAAATAAAATCCCTTTGTTTTTGTTCCTTGTTTTGTGCTAGCTTGACTTGCATTGTACACAATGCTGTAAGAGGTATATGATATATCTGATATGTGTATATCAGATATATGCAACCCTCATTTATCAGAGCTCTGCTGTACAGTTATTGGAGGAGGCAGCACAAAATGAGAAATAAGCAGAAGATGGGGAAAAACAGAAAACATGGGAATCTTTATAACTTCTACTTCTTAGTCAAACACTGATAGGACCTAACTTCAGCGTACGATTAATGTCTTTTTAAAAGATGAAGAAGGTGACCTTTGAAAGGAACTACCGGTATGAGAAAAAAATCAATGATCTGAGCAGAGGATCTGGACATACAACAATTTTGAGGTCAGAGAAATTGGATAATATTCTGAATGCTATACAGAGTCTGTTAGTTAATTGAGGAAAAAATCAGCATCTTTGGTTCAAAACTCTCCTCCCACTTCCATTTTCTGATCTACAGGGTATAAGGTAAGGTCCTATACAACATTTCAGAGCTCTGGAATTCATAGGGCCTCCTAAAGTGAACAAGTCATTGAGGATTTGAGTTATCAGGCCCAGCAAGTCCTAGAATTCAAAATAAAAAGATACAGTAACCTGGAAGTCCACTACATGGTTTTTTTTTTCTAGCTACAGCTTCCCAATTGCCATTCAGTCTCTCAAATGTATATGCACAGTCCAAATACCACTTGTAAAACATAGCCGTCAAAGTAGAAGAGCCTGAAAGGATCCTTTTCATTAGTAATTTTCCTTAACATGTAAATTTTAAACTCTCTACCCACCCCCAAGGATTACCTCAGGAATGCCATCCCAATGCTGCCTTCCTGCATCTTGATTTTGTTAACCAACATTAACCAAAAGAGCAAGTGAAGATATAAAACATTTAAAAGAGAGAGGGAGAGTGTTTGTGTGTGTGTGGGGGGGGGGAGAATAGGGTGTGAGAAAGAGAGAGAGCTGAGAGGGTGGGAAGGACAGGGGGAGGGGAAGGGAGAATAGGGGTGAGAGAAAGAGTGTGTGGGAGACGGAGAAAAAGGAGGAGAGAGGGAGAGAGAGGAGAGGGGGGAAGGACAGGAGGAAGAGAGGGGAGAGGGAGAGGAGGAGAAAAGGGGTAAGAGAAAGAGTGCATGGGGGAGGGAGAGAAAGGAGGAGAGAGGCAGAGTTGGGGGGGAGAGAAAGGGAAAGAGGAGAGGGTGGGAAGGACAGGGGGAGGGGAAGGGAGAATAGGGGTGAGAGAAAGAGTGTGTGGGAGAGGGAGAAAAAGGAGGAGAGGAGAGAGAGGAGAAGGGGGAAGGACAGGGGGAAGAGAGGGGAGAGGGAGGGAAAAGGGGTAAGAGAAAGAGTGCATGGGGGAGAGAAAGGAGGAGGGAGGCAGAGTTGGGGGGAGAGAAAGGGAAAGAGAGGAGAGGGTGGGAAGGACAGAGGGGAGAGAGGGAGGAGAATAGGGGTGAGAGAAAGAGTGTGTGGGAGAGGGAGAAAAAGGAGGAGAGGAGAGAGAGGAGAAGGGGGAAGGACAGGGGGAAGAGAGGGGAGAGGGAGGGAAAAGGGGTAAGAGAAAGAGTGCATGGGGGAGAGAAAGGAGGAGGGAGGCAGAGTTGGGGGGAGAGAAAGGGAAAGAGAGGAGAGGGGGGGAAGGACAGAGGGGAGAGAGGGAGGAGAATAGGGGTGAGAGAAAGAGTGTGTGGGAGAGGGAGAGAAAGGAGGAGAGAGGGAGAGGTGGGAGAGAGAGAGGGAGAGGAGAGGGTGGGAAGGAAAGAAGGAGAGAGGGAGGGAGGGAGAGAGATGGATCCCCAAATAACATCTGCGGTGTCCTCTACAAGTCAGCTCCAAATGAGAAGCTGGGCACGTACACTAGGGAGCAGCGCAGGACGCCCTGAAGGTCAACCCTTCTGCCAGCAGATCAAGAGGGGTCCGCAAAGGTTGTTGTTGTTGTTGTTGTTTTGCCAACCCCACTTACCCCAGGCAACTTAGTGGGCAAGAGAGGAGGCGAGCGGGGCGCTCTCCTCGCCCTCCCTCGTTGCCAGGGGCGCAGATGGAAGAGTGGCTGCACCAGCAGCCCCCGCCTCCCCTCGCCCCCTCCCCGCACGTGCCTCCTCGCCCGCCTCTCTCCCCGCCTGCTGCCGGCGCCCCTGCCGGGGCTGACACCCGCCGGGCGAGGAACCTCGTGCCAGCCCCCGACCAGATAGCCGCAGCGGACCCCCACCCCCACCCTCCCTCAAAAGCCCTCCTCCCGCCAGGACCCCCGAGCAGCTCCAAGCCCAAGCAGGGAAAGCGAGGGAGGCGGCAAGAGAAGGCCGGTGGGGTGGGGAAGGGAGGGGGGAAGCGGGCTGCTTGCTCACCTGCATCCCCGGCAGGCCAGGCTGCTGGACAGGGGAGTGAGCCATGATGACGGAAGCGGCAGAAGCAGCGCTGCTCTTCCTCCTCCTCCCCTCCTCGAGCCCCCCTCCCCCTTCCACCAGCTCCAGGCAGGACCCGAAGGATTCACATCAGCCTCCGCTCCGCACAGCGATCCTCCGCTCCCCTCCGGCCCCCACCCCCCCCCAACACACACACACACACACACACACACGCCAGAAAGAACCAGGGACCGAGTACGGAAGGAACGTGCGAGAGGAGGCTGGCTGGTTGGTTGGTTGGTTGGTTGGCTGCTGGGCTGCGTGCGCGCGCGCACAACAGCCGGGTGGGAAAGGAGGCGGAGCCAGAGCGGCCCCGCCTCCTGGCGGAGAGTGTGGGAGGGGGGTGGAGGAGGACACGCCGCGAGTGGGGAAAAACGTAAGCGGGAGGAGGGAGGAGGGCAGCGCGCGGGGTTTTCCGGTTCTTTCTGCCCCTCACCCCCAGCTGCGCCCTGGAAGGACCTTTATCATTATTATCATCATCATCATCATCATCATTATCATATCATTATCATTATCATTATCATTATTATTATTATTATTATTATTATTATTATTATTATTATTATTATTTCTCGATCAAGGTGGCAGCGTCTTCTGCAGGAGGCCCTAATCCCGCCGTGTCAAAGGAGGCGGCAGCAGTGCGGGGGCATCTTTAAAGCTCTGGATTCCCAACCACGTGCTAGGGACGCGTGGAAAAAAAAAAAAGAGCCGAGGGAGCCGCTTTGCCGTGTCTCGTTCCAGGGCGCTTTCCTGGACTCCCACCGCTAATCCTTTCCGGGGAGTCCTGGTCTCCCGAGGGCCCCTCTGACCCGCATCCTTTGCCAAGGTCAGCTCCGGGGCTTCGCGCTCCCTGCGACCTGAAAGGCTGTGGGGGGGGGGGGGGGGGGGATTGTAAGGGAAGGCCGCCTGCGTCTTCTGCGAGAGCCGCCCGGAGAGGCTTTGCCCTCTAATGCGGGTAACGGCTCCGTCCTCCCGGTTCCTGCCTGCCCCTCGCTGACCCGCGGCCGGAGGAAGGCGGAGCGAGCGCCCTTGAACGGCCGAGAGCTGGGAGGAGGAGGAGGGCCGGGCCGCTTCCTGCTCTCCTCCCGCCGCCTTTGCCGCAGAGGGCGACCTTGGCCGACTCCCGCCTCAGCTGCAGATCCAGCCCCAACGGCCACCTGCGCCTGGCCCGGGGCGCCCAACTCGGGCAGGTGCGGATGAGGGGAAAAAAACCAAACCAGATTATTTCATTTGCCTGAAATCCCGATAGTAGGCATCTTTTTTTCCAAGGACCTTTCCGGTTCGACCTGATGACAAAATGAGCCTCCTCAGTGCCGGATGTATTTGGGGTTTTTTTTTTTTTTTTTTTGTTTCTAATTGACCAAATTCGGAATAAGATCCCTTCACCTACTCCTTGGGATGCAAGGGCCTTAATTTGGCTTTTTTAAAGTGTGAGGTACAGGTAGTCCTCGGTTTTACGACCACAATTGAGTCCGAACTTTCTGTTGCAAAGTGAGATATTTGTTAAATGGATTTTTGCCCCGTTTTACGACCTTTCTTGCTCCAGTTGTTAAGCGAATCACTGCAGTCGTTAAGTTGGTGGCAAGGTTGTTAAGTGAATCTGGCTTCCCTGTTGGCTTTGCTTGTCATAAGGTCGCAAAAGCATGACCCCGGGATGCTGCAACCATCATAAATATAAGTCAGTTGCTAAGTCTCTGCATTTTGATTACATGACATCACTTTCACACTTACAAATTCATGCTGCAACGGTCCTAAGCGTGAAAAATGGTCATAAGTCACTTTTCAATGCCATTGTAACTGAACGATCATTAAATGAACTGTTGTAAATCGAGGACTACCTGTATGTTACTGCAGTCCCTTTTTCAAATATCCTGTGATAGTTAACTTCTGATGTGTTTGTATTTGTTTGCTCTTTAAAATACAAACAAAAATTACCAGTTTGCTCTTTTTTTACTTAATGGATGGATAGAGAAGTCCAATTCCCAGGTTGCTTTGGGAGAAAGTTTAATTCACTGTTAGGCACCTCTGCTTTGTTTGGATCTGTCTTCATTATTAAATGCGTGATTTTATCCTGTTTGAGAAAGTTGTTAATGTAAAGAATGAGGAGAGAAAACTAGGATGCTGGAAAATCAAGGGTACTTCTTATTGAGATATTTTTTATTAATACAAAAAAAGAAACTATCTTCATTATTGATGGGAGGATTTTCTGAGGAAAAACTGGGCACATCCTGGTAGAATTGGCCCACTCAAGTACTACCATTTCTTTAATCTGTGTTTCCCTGCAGAATAGTAAGCATGTGCATCATAGTTCATATATTTTCACAGACAAAATGCAGCAGGGTAACATTAGGGAGTAATTTGATGACCAAAGAAATGCTTTGATTTTCTCAAATTCCTGGGAACCATCCTAAAAGTATATTTTACCTGTTCGATCTCTAGGTTTTGCCATCTGATTTCTTCAGTATATTTTCAATGATCTGGGGACTGCAAAAATAATAGATATCAAGTGGTGGTGTTACAGGGTCTGTCTGATTAAAAGCAGTACTAAACTACATGAGTCATGGCATCTCTCTCTCCCACACACACACACACGCACACAAACCAAAGAGGAGAGCCTTGCATCACAAGACCATAGTTCCCGATTTTGTCATTCTGACAAAACATGGTCCGAGAGATTCCATAGTTGGCCCCATTCCTAGCTATGGTTTGGTTTGGTTCACCCATCGCACAGTGGTGCTTAAAAGTTTCAATTTTCAATATTTTTGCAAAAATCTGACCTTCAGTGTGATTAGTTCTCTACACAAATCCTAAAAATAGATAAAGATAACACAAGTCAAAAATAATAAACTTCATTTATTTCTTGAGCTATACATTTGCTTATATGGATTAACAGTAATTAATACCAAAAGTAATTAACGTGATGTAATTTGCATGGTCCTGTTTGTATTTGTATACAGTTTTCCTTAAAATATAATTGCAGGTAGTCCTCGACTTCAACCGTTCATTTAGTGACCAAAGTTACAACGGCACTGAAAATGTGCCTTATGACCACTTTTCACAGTTAAGACCTTTGCACCATCCCCATGACCATGTGATCAAAATTCAGATGCTTGGCAACTGGTTCATATTTATGTCTAGCGCTGTATCCCATGGTCATGTGATCCCCTTTTGCGACCTGACAAGCGAAGTCAATGGGGAAGCCAGGTTCACATAACAACCGGTATTACTAATTTATCAACTGCAATGATTCGCTTAACAGCTGTGGCAAGAAAAGTCATAAAATGGGGCAAAACTCATTTAACAAATGTTTCACTTAGCAACATAAATTTTGGGCCCAATTATGGTTGTAACTCGAGGACTATCTGTACAATCAGAGACACAGCTCCATTTTGTGTGACCCATTGGGTCATTATTTCAGAGATATTCCCTTACCAGAGTTCCCCAACCTTTCCAAATTTGCGGCTCCTCTACCAGAAGGCAGGCAAGCACATGCATGCAGCTCCATTTGTGTGAGCAGCAGGCATGTACGCCCACCACTCACGCAAATAGAGCGCGGGCGCACACTCACCTGCTGTCCGTGCAAGTGGAAATGCATGTCTGCACACGCTTACCCACCACTTCCATGGCCCAGTTCCAGACGGATCAAGGCCCAGTAGTGGACTGCGGCCCAGGGGTTGGGAGACCCCTGCCTTACCAGATTCCTCAATTCCTTCAACAAATTGCAAAGCTAGTCTATTGGAAAAGTTCTCAAAAATTCAGGGGGATACTCAGAGATGAATCTGCCTTGAAAGTAGCCCACGGTGAACAGTATAGTATAGTCAAACATCAGAGGTTGGCCACAGAAAATGTTTTATAAAATTTGCCAAATTTCAATTCAAGGAGAATCCTGGGTTTTGGATGCTTTACATTTAGCTGATTTGCGATACCTTGGTTGATAAGGTTTTGCCTTGTGATGCACCGGTTTGCCCAGTTAAAGATTACAGACATGAGAGTTTTAGCAGTACACACGATCCAGTCATTGTCACCTCTTAGCAACCACGTACATAGATTTCTTCCACGACAATCTGTCCCTAACATGGTCTTTCAGGTCTTCTAATGGTGCATCCATCACTCTTGTAAACTGAGTCCATTGCTTTTCTACTTTTTCCAAGCTTTCCCAGCATTAGAGCCTTTTCAACAGATCTAGGTCTTCTCCTAAGTTGTCCAAAGTAGAATCATTTGAGTTTGAATATGCAATAGACTTGGATGAATATCTTATAAGACCAGAGTATAAGGTTTAAATCAAAAAGAAAAAGACACCTGAGGTTCCAAGGATTAGAAGCTACATAATCCCAACAATTCCATAAAGTAGTGGATTCAATTAGAAACAGGGTACTTCTTGATTTCTTCTGAACTAGTCACTGCCTGTTGAGGACTATATAGAAACTTTTTTTAGATATATCTCCAGCCACTTGAAGATGCTACTTCAGTTCTGGGCACTAGCCACAATATGTAACGTACCTACTGCAAAATCTCTAAGCCTCTGCTTCTCTGGCAGAAGAAAATATTTTTCTTCCACCCTATTCCATAAATGGATTATACAAGGTCATCCTAGGACCTAGGTTGTGTAGATGCCCTAGATGCCTGTCCTACAGTCCAGCTTGAGAAAAAACTGTTTTGTGTGTTAATTAAAAGACAAAAAGGAAGAGTGACAGTGTATCAGCTGACTGATCCGCTCACCAAGAATGAAGTAGAGCTTTTCTTCCATCTGCAGCATTGTGTAATGGTGCTCCCTGATTGCTCAGGATAATTCTAAACATGTTTGAGGTCCCTGAGTGGTGAGGACAAAGTGGAGAAAGACATGCATTGAGTTTAAAGGGCCTTTGGGATACTTTGCAAATGAGCAGATAATGATGTGGCGGAGCTCGGTATGTATATTTAATTAGACAGAAAGGGTGAAGGAGGGATGAGTAGACCAATTTCTCCTGCTTGTGTAGTGAATGTAGAGTCTGAGGACCTGAAAAAGAGAGATTATCCACTAGCAGGGACATAAATTTATAAAGCCATCCCCCAGTTGTTCGGAACAGTGGGAATACTTGAAATTTTAAGAGGTGTGTCATGCATGCATTTGCAAAATGGTTGCCAATGGAGAAGATTGCTTATCAAGTCACACAAAACAGTTGTCATCGTGAAAATCATATCATGAGACACTTAACATACTGCAAAGCGAGAATGTAAGTTGTTGATAGCAAGGAATGTCCTTTTTGGGGGCAGCCATTATTTTGATGGGTTATGAACATGCGCTAGCTGA